ATGTGCATGTATCTAACAGATTGACCATCAGGACTGCTCCAGGCCTTCTCTGGGGGTGCAAGAACAGGATTAAATGTCTTATCACCTAAAAAAGGGGCAGAAGAAAGGGGAAAAAACTAAATGCCTAGTACCAGTCTTAGTGAAGAGGCTCCCATCAGACTGTTTGCTGAAGTCACCAGGCGGATTCTGTCCCACCGAGGAGAACTGAAAAGGCAGCTTAGTACCATTGCCTACTGGAAGACAGAAGAGGTTGCGTTATTCCACGGTGTTGCGTGCTGCAGTGGGGAAGCCTAAGCATTTCAAAACACACCCTGTAAAACTACCTTCAACCAGCTTGGGGGAAAATGGGAACTAATAGTTTTGTCCCTTTTCTCTAAGTAAGAAAAGGCAGATGAGAGCAGTTGTGGGGTCCCGGTGTACACAGTGTGCGAGTGTGAAGAGATCTCAGTGCTGCAGGCAGGGAAGAGCCCTTCTCTTGAGAGACCCAGAGTGCAGGTGTGACTGAAGAGCAGCAGCTTCCTCGCAGGTAAACTGCACCTCCAGAGACTGGAGTAACAAGGCAAAACTACACAACTGCCGAAGCTCCCTCCCCTCCAAGCAGTTGAGGCTTTATTCACAGCCCACTGAAATTAAAGCAAGGCTTCCCCTCCTGGCCTCCTTGGGGTCAGGCCCTGGCTGCCAGAATGAATGTGAGAGCAGAGACAATGAGAGGGAGACAGCCCTGCCTGTGGCATGAAAAGCAGGAACGGCTTAGGTGTGGCTGTGAGTCACCAGAGCTCCCCCAGGTAGAGTGGCCGTGGATGCTTGTAGGCTGCCTCTGAATGAAAGGAAAGGCAGGACCCTCTGAGCATGAACAAAGCAAAGTAAGAAAATATAGGCGAGAAAAAGGAAGATGGGGATCTAGGAAGAAAAGGCATGACTCGCTGCTGCTGGTTCTCGGTACACTAGCTCAAAGCGCACACACACACACCCCCATCGTGCTGGACACTTTACAGACAGTGAACATCAGGCAGGCTCCATCTTTGAAAACTTATGAGCTAAGTAAAAGGTGGGTGTGCAATGGAGAAGAGCAGCCTTGTGCTTCTGAGTCTGGCTGAGGGTATTTGGAGTCCGCTCCTGGTTCTGCCACAACCTCCACAGATTGCCCTGGATGATGTTGGCACTCCCATTGATTGCAGTTAGGTTTCTTAGGATCTTTACAAATTGGCACCTATGTTTTCCATCTTCTTCTTTCACTGTCTGAACAATGAGGACCAGGGATGCCTTTCCCTCCTATATATATAGCGCCCAGTAAGACCCTGGATTTGGGTGTATGCAGATGGTGCTGATAACCCAGCTAAGAAATGGTTCTAAGAGACAGTAATTGACAGGTGATAGGACAGCTGAGAGGAGAAGCAGAAAAAGTTGGTTAGCCAGCTAGAAATCTGTGGCACGGGGGGTTAGATCCTTTCAAACTGAAGTCGGAATTACCCGTACCAAGTGTTTCCTCAGTCGCTTGGAAGGAGGAAAATTCCCATGATCGTGGGTTGAAACTGGCTGTAAAACAAGAGCATCCAGTTCAGCAGTCGGCTCCTGATGAGCTGGCTCAAAGGCCTGTGCCTGGCATTGCTCTATGAAACAGTCCCCACCAATTTGGAAGCAGCCCCAAACCAGAAATCTGGGTCCATGGAGTAGAGGAGAGCCTGGTCTTTTTTTCTCTAGGTTCTAGGGAATGGTGAATAGACTTCTCATTTAGAGAACAAAGCGCTGTCACTGCCACAGAGCTGTCTTTAGCTGTATTAAATTGCCAACTCAGGTTTCTCTACTCAACATGACTATTCTGCATAGAGACCTGCAGGCAGAGGCTTGGATTTAGAGCTCGAGACACACAACTAGAGGAGCATTTCTTGCTCAAGCACACATTGTTTCAGCCACTGTGACAGGCATGTGCTCCAGGGTTTCGCTAGGACATCATGCTGTGATGCAGACTAGTGTTGTTGTACCCCTTTTGTGAGACATTGGACTCCCAGAAGAGTGAAAAAGAGATGAATACTTTGAGCTGTTATGCTGCCATCCTGTGGACTGCTTTTCTATTTAAGCAGTGCTTCTATTTAAGCAGTTATCTCTGCCTCTCTGTATGCTGAGTCCCTTCTACTCCTCATTCGAAGACTTCCAAAGGCACAAGATGATCTTTCCAACCTCCTCCTGGCTTTGGCCAAACTGTTTGCAACATCAGGAGAAGAAAGCTCGGTGGAAGAGGACAGAAAGGAGTGTCGAGCAGTTGAATAGATTGTTCCTCTATCTTTTAGTCAGCATTTGAAACCTTTTATGTCTCCCCTCTGCCTCATTATGACATCCCTGCAGGCAGATGCTCTGTGATACTGTCTTTAACGACAAAAGCAGTAGAAGTCTCCTTGAATTTAAGCAGGTCTTAAAAACCTATAGCTTCAGCTCAAATCCAAGCAGTTTCTTAGTATGGGCCACTGCAATTAGCGCAGAGCACTACTTGGGTAGCATTCCTGAATGCAGCAAACAGACTTGCCACTGTGGCCTCGGGCAGAATTTGTAGTGATCCAACCTAGCGAGAAAAAGGGTGTGTTACAAAACTATCATGAGATATTCACGGATTCTGTGTGTATTATGCAATGCAAAGGGTGGTCCTCTTTTTTTTCCTCCCATTTTATGGAATTCCTTAGAAAAGATGCAATCAGAGGCAGTGCTGGACTTCTAGTGACACATTGATAGAGTATGGAAAGCTCTAGAGAGTTAAATTATTATGGGTATATTGTATTATTCATCAGATAATCTTTTGCTAGGCAGCATGCAAGCTAAGTGATGTCTCCTGTTTTGCCTACTGATTCATTCTGTTCCCAAAGTCCCCGTCAGTGTGGTTTCAGCAGCTGGTTCCTTTCTATCATAGTGTTCCCATAAGGGATCATGCTTGAGCCCTCACCCTGGTGGAGAATCCAGTGCTGTTCCATCCCCATTTCAGCAGAGACTGTGTGTGCAATCGTGTGCTTAGTTTTTTTGGACAAAGTAACTTTGTTGGTAGAAAATACAGGATGAGTAGTTTTGGAAGGCAACGTGTCTGTGTTCTCAGGAAAACGTAGATACGTAGGCAGAACAAATGCTCCCCCAGTATTTGTATATTCAAAAGCCCATTACAGGAAGCAGCGGGCCACTGAACTGCAAGCCACTGTACAACCCTCACACTACTATGTAGCCTGACTGTATCCAGTAAGTGTCCTCTGGCTCCAATAAACAGCACTAAATAGGACAGCCTGTATCTAGCAGTCCCTGTTGATCCCCCCTGTCTCTTGGCACATCCTTCAGGAGGCTGGGATGCTGGATCCCAGATGGGAGCCAGGGAGCCCCTGCTCCCAGGTCTCAGCAGCTGATCCTCCAGAGAGGAGCAGAAGGAAGTCCAGGTGCTATGGTCCAGAGCAGTGAGCAGCCAGGCTGTGCCATGCTATGGCACTGCTGCAAATGGCTTTTCCCTTCCTTTTGCCACATCAGGTTTCAGCCCTGTCCCAGACACATATGGGAGTGGTGATGGCAGAATGGCATTGTGTGATGTGTTCCTCCCATCACATGTGTTCCTCCCATCACACGTGTTCCCCCCCCCCCCCCCCCCCCTGCATGTCGGGCCATTTCCACCCGAACTTGAAGCCCTGCGTTTTGGGTAGAAATGGGTTCAGCCCATGCAATTTTAGAACTTTCCACCATCCCTTAAGGTTGAAAACAGTTTTGGATGCAGGGCTGAGACTGTGGTCTTTCCCCAGCGTCAGCAGCCTTGCTTAGCAGAACATGTGTTTCCCTGACAGCACAGGGCCTGTAAAGCCCTGAAGCAGCTGGGGTAGAACAGCAGCTATAACCATCCAGGTGGTGTTTGGAGACAGGTTCCAGGCAAAAAGAACCACCACTGGCAAAATGCCCCTCTGCAGCCTCTGATGAAGAGGCTGCTCCCTAACTTTGGGGAACCTGCAGGAGACACTCCTGCTAAAGGCTTGCTAATGCTGAATTGGGAACGTCGCCTCTGCCCCTGACATCTACTCCGAACGGCATCCTCACCCCCACAGCGCCAGGCAGGGCTGCCAGCGAACTGCCAGGCGTGGGCTGATAACAGAGGAGAAGGGCAAAGTGGAAATCCAGACAAAGGGCTCAGTGTTGGGATCTGGGTTATCCCCATGAAACCCTAACGAGAGAGCAGGCAACGTCACACTTCAAATACTCCTTCAGGGGAGTGCCACTGCTAATTGCTGGCGTATCCCTTCGCCCTGCCCGCCATCTGGCTTTGTAGAATAGCAGCTGTAAACACCTGGCAAATCTAGGCAGGGCCTTGCTCTCTAGGGACAGAGGAAATTTGGTTATTTATTTTGTGCTACCCTTTCTGTTCTTTTGTTTCTACAGGCATTGCTTTGCCTAGGCTTTTAGCACTCTCTGCTTCTCGCTCTGGAGGTCCCGACACTAATTTAGAAATAGACAACTGCCATTTTACAACTGAATGTCTTGAAAACAGTCATTCACTCCAAAGACTCATCCTGTAGTGTTCATGGTAACAATTGGGACATAAGCAAATCACCAGGGCTCTTGTTGTCAGTGTCAGAGCTCAGAAAAGAACCCCAGACTCCTGCTTTTTTAGGACACATTCCTCACTTCTATCCTTTCCCTGTACAGAAAAAGTATGTTTTCTGGTGAAAGTAAAATCTTAATGCAGAGCAAGCCTAGTGTAGCTTTCACACTTGATAGCATAGTGGGGTAAGCTTCTGGTGGAGAATAACACTTACTTCAACCCAGTAACAGGTGTTAAAACTCCCCTATATTCATAAACTACACTCTTGAAAGAGTTCAGCTGCTCCAGCTCTCCTCCATGGAGTTGAGAACCTTTGCTGCCTTGTTTGAGATGAAAAGGCAAAAACTTCTCAAAGCTTTGTAGGCTGGAGAGAAGACCTGGCATAAACAAATGCAGAGGGACTGACCTTGTCTGGGGGACAGCAGGAAACATGAGGGAAAGCAAACCTGGGGACAAATCATTAATGAAGTTTCTTTCCTGTGCTGTGTTTGGAGGAGACCTGACCACCATTAGGGTGCCGTACCTTTGGGAGACAGGAACATGGAAAATCTCTTCAAGTTGTCGGGCTGGTTCCACTCATAGTTGTTCATCATGTACCGGTGGTCACCTGGAGAAGCAGAGCAGGACGTGAGCTGGAGGAGGCAGTTAGTGGCCTTGAGAGGGACGGGAGGAGGGGGAAGGGGATAACAGACTGGAATTGCTTCCTCAAGTGCTGTAGGAGAGATGGTTCTGCCCTTTGAAAACAAGTTCCACTATTTTTGTAATTCCTCTGCAGGACTCCCTGGCTGGAAGGTAAAGCAGTGCTGTAGCTGCCCAGAAGTTCAGCCTGGGATGAAAGAGAAAGCTCCCTCAGAGGCGTAGCACAGCTGAAGCATTTGGCCATTCAGCAGATGTGCTATCTCCTGAAAATCCATAGGGAGACTTGAGGGTTCAGGCATTTTCCTACCAAAATACGGCTGTGTGGCTAAAAATGTATCCCACTTCAAAAGCAGTGGTTTGAGTTTGGCTTCTTTGGTGTGTTTAACCTGTGCACAGAGCTGGCTTTCAACCAGCAGATCTTGAACTGCAAGTATTACAAAGCTCAAGAAAGTCAGTGTTGGGAGGGCTCAATGTGTTGGTTTGCTCAATTGTTAAAGAAAGGTGCTAAACCTGCGTTGCAAGCAGCTCTAGCTTCCTGGGCTCTTGGACAAGGGCATTTGGTTCAGGCTTCATGCAAAGTGGATGAAACCTACCCTTTTGCCAGGTATTAGGCAGCCTGGTTTTGGTTTTCCGATACTGATCCACAGGAAATGAGGCTCTATCAGTACAGTTGCTCATAAAAATACTTTCTTTTAAGGCCTCAAGTGTTATATAAACCTACTGTTCTCTGCAATGGGGTAAATTTGGTTCCTATGTTTAAATGGTTCCATTCTTTGATTCTTAAGTCACTGAACAAACTTTTATGTTATTTCTCCAATCTATTTCTGTGTTATTTAAACTCCCTGGATGCTCTCTGATTATTTGCCTCCTTGCCACACTACTAAGTAGGTACCTGTTATGACAACTAAAAGAAAGTGGATTCCCTTTGGAGTCTGCTATTAAGCAGGTTTCATTCCATTAATATAATATTTCTTCCTGGAAGATCAAGCTGGTTGCAAATGAATTTGTTGCAATGACTCAGGGGGAGTCTGAGTTAATTAAATCCATTAAGTAATTGTGGAGTTATTTCCTTGCAGTCACTAGATGCAGAGTGCTGTCCTCTTTCAAGTGTAACTGTGGTTTGAAAAACGGAGAGGTCTGAAGTTTCTGAGACTCACCTTAAATAACATTTCCCAGCTGAGTGGATACCACTGTTATTCTCGTTAGGCAGACTCCAGGCTGTGTCCATTAAATCCCTGGTAAAGTTTCTGAAAGTGCCCGGGTTTCTGGCAGTAGTTAATTGTTGCCCTGCTCAGAAATGTTTTGGCACTTGAATCCCACGGATTTCAAGTACCATTGAGGACTTCCGGCATCGGTAACACGGAGGGGGCCCTAGTTAAAAGTGATCAAGAAGTAGCCGGTCTTTATCCAGAGCTACTAGAACTGAATATATATGCATACTCTTGTTGGGTTGTACAAATGGCCAGGTAAAATGTATTTGCTGCAAAAAACAGCTCAGCGGATGGAAGGTAACTTCCTCAGTAATGGAAACTTGAATGCAAAGTGCTTTTATGCTACTCCTCTAGTTTTTAGAAGTGCTGTGAGTAGTCAGGCATCCAAAACCCCTTTGGCATTATGCCATCCAGAGTTTGGAAATTCTGCAAATCTCCGGGTGAGCAAAGGAGGAGAAAGGAAAAAGTACAAAAGTGATTTTTGGATCTGAGCTGCCTGTCACCTACTTGTATTAAGTTATAGCCAAATTTCTCAGCAAACCTTAGCACGTGGAGCATTGAGAATCAGACCAGGTATGTTGCAGTGTTAAATGCTGGAAAACAAGTAATGTTCAATTTCTGGTACTACTTTGAGGGTAGGGAGAGTTTAAAAATGTGTCTCTAGGTACGCATTGTGAGCACTTTGAACATGATTCCTGACTTTTCTGAAAGGCTGGTTCTCTAGACCAGAAGTATCTGGTCCATCTAATTCATGTCTAATGGAGAATGATGGTGCTAGATAAACATTAATGAACTGTTTGCAGTGCAGGCTTCTCAGGGCC